CTTGTCTTTATTAAGCTTTTCATATAATCAACCTCTGCTCTTTCTTGAAACTATTGACTTCATTTTTAATTGCTTACATTCATTTCTCCGAGCTTTACAACAAAATCAGGTGTAGGTGTCACATCTTTTAACTGACGCTAACGTCACTTTACATTGTTATGTATTTTGAGCAACTGTTACTCGGTTTTTGCTCTATTTTCCTGCTTATAATCAGTTAATTTTCCAATTCTTTCAGCACACTGCCAAATTCTGAAGTTTTGTTGTTGTAGAGACAACTCCATGTTAATAACTTGATTTTTAATTTTTACTGCTGCACATATGAACTTTGCTTTTTTAGTTTGAATAGCTCTCTGGTTCCAGTTTGAAACTGAAAAGGTTAAATTCTACCTGAAGGATAAAAACAACTAACATTCTGTGCCAAGACAGTCAGGAGGGCAACCATCTTTCTTGATGGAGCCTCTGGAACCACTCAAGCCAAGATGACCCAGGGTTTGCTAGGAGGAGGTGAGGGAACTCCAGACCCTACAAATGGTTTCCTGCACCACAAGGCTAAGCCTGGGGATGCTGAGCATGGAGGCAGGAGAGGCTGTGCCTTAGTTTCTTCATCTGTTAAATGAAGTAATACAGTATCTACCTCATAAGGCTGTTGTAATTATTGAACTTATATGTAAACTTTGAACAGTTTGTGGCTCAGATTATTATTTCTAGTTTCTGAGGTCAGTTTTTCCATATTTTGACCTTGCTTATTCTTTGGAATGCTGCTGACCTTTCTCACAGTTCTCTTTATCCTTGGTTGTCCAGCCATGTTTTAAAAATAAGGTGTAGATCACTAGGGTTTCTTTCCTTTGCTGTTGCATGAGCAGGATTATTTTCCTTCTAGTTCTCTCTAATAAGAAGGGTTTTGACTAAGAACTTAATGCACTTTGTTGAAATGGAGCACATCCACTATAAACCTTCACTTCAGGGGCTGATGAGCAGGAACTGAATGTCAATGTCAAGCTGTGGATCCCCAAATAAGGCTGGCTTTCATACACACTATATCCTTTTAAAGATTTTCAGTTAATATGGCATTAAATGGGAGTGGCGATGATATACTATAGTGGTAGATATTATGAAAAAATGTATGAAGTACCAATAAAATCTTTACATAAGTTCCACACTTGACAAGGGAGAACAATTAATTGCTTAATTAAAAGTGAAATGTCTTTATCACTTTGAAATAATGCCCTAGGATTATTTTGAAAGTGACATGTAGTTGACTCTCTACAATTGAGAGTAATTCTAGAATCATTATGGGTTTTTTTTGTGCCTTTAATTTTATTGAATAGGACAATAGCTTTTTATTTCCCCCAGGCCAAGGCAATGGAGTATGTTTGGGTCATCTGCAAAAACTGGTCCAAAGGGAAATAACAAAGGAGGAAAATACTCTTCAGTAAATAAGCCCTGCAACCCAAAAGTGAAGTAAGAATTTCCTGTCCCAGTCTTAGGAGGTGGTCAATAGCTCTGCATATTTCTCCACTGAATTAGATTTCATAACTTCCTGTGATGTAATTTGCTATATTCCCCCTGGCTTGAATTAGGACTTCCCTTCCAGAGTTCTGCCAAGCCAGTTTTCTTTAGACCACTTCAGAAACTAGAATATCTACTATAGGTTCATGAAAAGAGCACTGAATAAGAAGTCAGGATAAGTGAATTTCTAAGGCCAACTTCCCGTCTTACAATTTGACTTCAGAAACCAGTGCTTATACCAAGCTCACATTTCCTAAACAATTCACATTCTTGAAAGGTAGAAAGAGCTGACTTACAAAGTGTTAAGTTTCCTGTCATTGAAAGTATGCCAAAAGACACTTGAAAACCACTTCTTAAGATGCTTGTGAATTTTTTATATAAGATTAGACTTGATGTCCAAAAAAAAAGTCTCTCTGAATTTTGAAACTGAATGATTCTGTGCTTTAGTTCTATGAAAAGCAAAGAAGCAGGGAGGGAATGACAAAGGTACCTAGCATATTTATTCAGTCTTGTGTGGATTTCAGCCTTGGTGTCTGGAGTTGCTTCAAGCTTACTAAAGTGCTACTTCTGCCTGTCCATTCTGACTCCATCCTTAGATACCCACTTTCTGATACAAAATAAGCACGTCCATAAGAGTATCTATAAGTCCAAGGCAGGTAAATTTATACCCATAGCTGGAGGGGTGGCTAATCAATGCAAATGTAGATTTCTTTACATTCATATTCTTCTTTTTAAAAATCTATGTGAATTTTAAGTTGTTTCTTATAGTACCTCTGTTCTAATGTAAGATAATATTTTAGATCATCAATTATTGGGGGTGACGAACTTGCCCCAATTCATCCAAGCAGATGTTCCTTCCTATGCACAGGGCAAATGCATTTAGTTTAAGAAGCTCAGGGCAACACATTTGACTAGTGCACTGGATTCAGGTTTATTATCCATGGTCTTCTCACATCTTTGGGGTTTGTCTCTGCAAGACCTACCCCCTCCAAAACACCAGGACCCCATCCAATATGGAAGGAGGAATCTAACAATAGGAGAAGTTCTTGATGTTGTTTAAATAGCCCCCTCTCAGCTCATTCAAGCATCTCTTCTCAATGGACTCTGAATTGTTTACAATGATACACTGCAGTAGAATTATTTCAGAGTCCTGTTTTAACTCAATCTGGGTGTGCCTCATTGAGCTAATAAAATCCTCAACCCTGAGAAAGGGTGTATTATGTGCTACATTTTGCTAGAATTCATGATATGTCTTTGGAGAAGAATTGTGCATTTTATATAATTTGCCAAGGACAATTTCAAAAAGCATAACATCATCAATCTCACAACATCTCTAATGGCTTCACTGGTAGTCAGTTTTACCAAATGCAAGCTAAGACTCAGACCATCATACACCTGCTTCCAGCCTATTGTTTCAGATGTATCATCTGTTGAAAAGACAAAAGAGTAGGAAAAGAATTCATCCTTGAAGCATTTCCTTTCTGATTAAGTCAACAGATGTTGTCTGAAGTCTATACCTGGGGAATTTATTACTTCAGTTTTAAAAAGTAAGAGAAATTCAAAGACAATGCTTTCATAATTGTGGTTTTTTGATTGAGGTCGCCAGCCTAGTAATGACTGATAATAGTCAAGAATTTGTGATAGTTGTCATTTTCAAAAACATTGGAATGACATTTTCTGAAAGTGCTTTTATTTTAATTATCATCTGGGCTTTATTGTTCCTGGTCTGGGCTCTCCCTCTCTTGGTGTGAGGCTAGTCAGAGCTGGCCTTGCTCAAATGGGCTTGAGGGGTTAGGGGAGGTGGCAGAAAGTAGCTCTCAGGACCTTAATGGTTAGATGGAGGCAGAGAGGACAGTAAAGTCAGAGGTCAAAGTCAGAAATGCATAGCTAAACCAGTCACCAGGGCAAAAAAAATCCTGACATGGGCAACAGTTAACTGGAGCAGCCTGTGAGTCAAAGAGCCACTGAAAATGAGAACATGCTCCCTCTGCAAGGAAGAAATGAGCAAGAGGGTCTTCTTGGGAAACAGCCAAGAAGTTGAGCTCTTGCTGTCTGCTGAAGTGTGAGAAGCCACAACAAAAGTGATGCCCAGTGACCTGTGTAGATGGCAGTTTCTTCATGTGTTTCCTGGTCTCCTCACCTAAGATGGGAAAAGATCATATTTAATCTGGGATGTGAAATCTAATATATTATCATCATTGTAATTGTTAAAATTTGTTTTACAATTAAGAAATAGAAGGAAAGATAACCTAAGAAAACTAAAAAAAAAACAAAACTGCATAATAAGTATATTTTCCTTTTGTGGCAGAACAAAATTGGGCAAAATGTTTTGGTGTGCTGTTTTCTTTAAATTTAGTCTATTCTTGTTAGTTTCTAACCAAAGTACTTACTTAGCATTCATGATTGCTAATATTTGTAATAGTTGTTATTTATGAACAAATTATCAATTGATTGTTACCATGACAGTTCTGGTAAATTCACAGATCAAAATTTATATACAAGTAAAAAAAAAAATCCCAACACAAAATAATTAGATTTTTTTTAAACACCAGGTCTCAAATTACCCACCTACTTTGACAGTTTTAGTGTCTTGATTGAATATTTTATGATGATACTACTTAAGATAAAAATGTAAAAGCTAATTTATAGTGACATCTCTTTATGTGAAAGGTTCCCAAGCTGATTTATTACCCAGTTGAAGCATGTCAGTGAATACAAACATTTCTAAGGTAAAGAGACTTTTCAATTTTCTTTCACACTCTTAGTCAAACAGCTTCAGCTAAACAATTTATATGAAAAGCAGGATCTTTTAATTTTACAATATGCCACTTTATTTTCCTATGATATCTCCTTTAGTTTTATTCTTCAATTTAATAATACCTGCTATGTTCTGTGCTGAGTAATAAATTTGGAATGCTATTCCCAATTGTAATTCATTTTGATACCCACACATTTGAGGGAATGTAATGTCAAAGATTCAGACTTAGTTCTTCTCAGACTGGATTCTTTACTTATCCTCTCTCTATTCAACAAAAAAGTAAGTAATCAGTTACCAAATGGGTGCTGTTTTTCCAGTTTTCTAGCTGCCTCTCGCCATCCTGATTTTTGTCTTCTGTTGAATTTATTACGTTGTCATTCTGAAAGGACTTTGGAGAAAGTACACCTATATATAAAATTAATCATATTTTTGGTTGAGGAGAAAGGGGTTAAGGGACTATGTCTAATGATTTACTTCCAGTTCTGTAGAACTATTCACTAATACAATTAATAAAATACACTATAATTATAATTTATATATTCAAAAGCTCTGGGTAGTGATAGATGAATACAATTGCTAAGGCTTAAAATAATTTTTTTTTTTTGAGACAGTCTCACACTGTTGCCAGGCTGGAATTCAGTGGCGCAATCTTTGCTCTCTGCGACCTCCCCTCCCAAGTTCAAGCGATTCTCCTGCCTCAGACTCCCGAGTAACTGGGACTTCAGGCACGCACCACCACACCCAGCTAATTTTTGTACTTTTAGTAGAGATAGCATTTCACCATGTTGGACAGGATGGTCTCTATCTCTTGACCTCGTGGTCCACCCACCTCGGCCTCCCAAAGTGCTGGTATTACAGGCATGAGCCACTGCACCCAGCCTTGAAAAAATTTTTATAAGTCAATGCATTTCAAGGATTATTAAAGGGTAAATAAATTACATGAGATTTTTTTTTATATTGGTGCTAGTTTGTGTTACAGGAGCATTAGAGGTATTGTAAAGTAAAAAAGAGAGGATGAAGCCAGGAAGATGCTATAAGCAGGAAAGGAAGAGACAGCAAAGGAGGCACAAGCTCAACAAGAAAATGCTTATGGCTTAGCACAAGGTCTTCTGGAATAGGAGATACAGGAGGTGGCAGCAACAGTAGATCAATGGGAAGGAAAGATGTGTTTGGTGACAGCATTTTGGTGGGAGGGAACAGGAAATAGGGAAAAGATTAAGGGCAGAGAGAAACCAGATGGTGATCATAATGAGCCAAAACCCAAAAATGTTATGGACTCAAACCTTAGCTATAGAGACCTAAAGAAATGAAAAAATAACAAAAATAGAAAAAAAATGTATTTTCATAATTCAGTGTATTTGTATCATATCAAAAATTATTTGAGATGAATTATTAAAAAATCTTTATTATAAGATTAATAAAACACAATCAAAAGAGGAAAAGGCAGCATATGCCAACCATAAGCATCAACAGAGTGACTGTGTTTGAGCAGATACCCTAGAACTTCCTCCTAGCCCTGATGAAGAGGGAAACTTTATAAGTCATAAAGCATTCATCAAATATCATTACCTGAAATTAGGGTACCCACTAAATATTTGTCAGAATAAATTTTACTGGTGAGAAACAGCTCCTGTGTGATAATAGAAGGAATATGATTTAATAAATCATAACCTCTCTTTGTTTCACAGCAAATAGATAAATTTGCATGGCCAATTTTGAAAGCAACCTAAGATAAAAACTCATGGATAACAATGCAAAAGCATGACAAAAATGTCACTGTCTAAATGTGTAGTCTTCTTGTAGTCTGACTTGATCCAAGGACATTGATTCATATTGATACAGAAGCAGGAGGCAGGAGACAGGGAAGTGCTAAGTAGAGAAAAGCTGGGTCCCTGATGAGGGTTCCTTGGGGCCTGTGCCATGGATCTAAGTGAGGACAATCATTTCTGTTTCCGTTCCCATAAAGTTGCCTTTTGGCCTGCCACACCCACCCATCCTGTGCCCATAAAAACCTGAGAGACCGTAGCAGGCACAAGTGGCAGGACGTCAAGAGGAGCAGAAGAGCACACCCAGAGACACCAGCAGACACAGGCAGGCCATCAACGGCGGGACAATGCGGAATTCAGTCGGGGTGGTAGGAGGAGAGTCTGCCCACCGGGTGGCCCGACTCCAGGGGAAGACCACCTTCCCAACCCGTCCTCCTGGCTCCCCATCCACCTCGCTGAGAGCAACCTCCACCACTCAATAAAACTTTGCACCCATCCCCAAGCCCACATGTGATCCGATTCTTCCGGTACAGTAGGGCAAGAACTGGGGATACAGAAATCCCTTTGTCCTTGCGATAAGGCAGAGGGTCTAACTGAGCGGACTAACACAAGCCGCCTGTAGACCGCAAAACTGAAAGAGTACACTGTAAGACACGTCCCCTGGGCTTCCCGAGCAGGAAACACTCAACCCTAGGTGCTACCATGGGGTTGGAGCCCAACATCGCTCCCCATGAGCTGCCCGTCTGCATGCTTCCCCTAGGGCTTTGAGCAGAGGGACAGTGAGCCACACTCATGTCACACACCCTGCGAGGGAGTTAAGGGAAGAGCATACAGGCCACCAGGGAAGTGGGGGAAAGCCAGCAGCCAAAAGCCTCACCCCACTCCCACATGACCCGCAGCCCTAACGGCTGATCTCACTCCCACTGTGCCCCCCACAACAGCGCCGAGCCTGTTTCCACGCAGCTGGTGACCAGGGCTGAGAACCTGCCCTACATCATGGGTCTCCCCATTGGGAAAGCAAGCCGATGCACAGTTTTTCGGCATCTCAGGAAGCCTGCAGGGGTGATCTAGCTCCTTGGAAGGGCCTGTGGAGTCTCTTGGCTTTCCCGGTATGTTCCTGTGGTAGTTCTTGGAGTGAAAGTTCACGATGTGAGTCTAGACTGCTCTGTCCTTCTGAGTGGGAGCTGCAAGCTAGTCTTGCCTCATATCTGCCATCTTAATCCCCCGAAGGAAAAACTTCTAAATTGGAATTGCTAAATCAAAGGAGATGCACATTTTAGGTTTTGCATCTCCTTTTAGTTTTTGTTTTTCCATTCTAAAGAGGGGACACAAATTTATATTTCTATTGATAACAAACAAAAATGCCTATGTGTCAAACAACGTGGTAAATGTTTTACTTAAAATAATCTTTGGAGGAGGAATGATTATTATTCCCAATTTAAAACTGAGTTAACTGAGGCACTGCTTAACTGAAGTAGGTTAAGCAACTTGACAAAAATCACACAGAATTAACTGAATAAACTGGGAGTCAACAGTCCTTACCCATTATGCTATATGGCCTCCTTGAGTTTCAGTCCCAGCCCTCTCACTTAAAGCTGACAGCCTGGCCAAATTGTTTCCCTCAGCTCTATAGTTTCTTTATATTTAAAAGGAGATAAAATGTATTGAAATACATTAATATAAGGATAAAATGAGACAAAGTCCAAAAAATCCCATGCAGGAGGGGTTAAACAAATGTAAATTTGCTTTCTTTCTGTTGAGAAACTTAAATCACAAAGAAGAATAAAGTATTTCCCTGGCAAATCTTTTTTAGTGGCTATAAATTAAATAAGCAAATATGAAGCATTTTAATGCTAATATGAAAGCAATAAAGCCAACAGATATTAGGCGCTGTAATGGAACTCCCCTCTCTGTCTTTCTGATACAAAGTCTTTAATTCTGATGGGTTTGCTCTTGGCCTAGCTTCTTTGCACAATATTGTTTGCAACCAGTCATTCCGTTTGGCTGATGCTTTAATACTCACCCTTATTCCTTTTCTCTAGAGATTGTTTCTCTAGAAATGTGGATGGAATAAGGATTGCTAAAGCTATGTGTCTGGGAACACTTAACCACCTATTCCAAGACAGCCTTCAGTGGACCTTCTCTTTAGGATCCACAGTCCAGGACTGCACAAGGAGGGTAACTTGTGTATTTCTTTACTCCAAATGTGTCGACTTCGCAATTTGCAGGACATTCATGTATAACCTCATACTAGTGGCCTGTCTCTTCCCAGCTCTGAGTGGTCAGTATAGCTCAGTAATAGGTTCCAGATAGGAAGGGTGACATTTAGTCATGGCTGAGCTCAGAAAAATTACAACCACATAAATGTCAAAATTTTAAACTCAGTTTTTACAACCAGGTTATAAAATAACAAACACCCTGACAATTATGCTAACTCTATCCTTCACTTCAATTTTCGTACTTAAAACCTGATCCATTACACTACCTGTGAGCCCTGATGCTTTCCTCACCCCGATCCATCCACAATATGTTCCCTACCCATTCCCTCTACAACAAAGGTGCTAACCAGAAATGGAGTGAGGCTCAGGTACTTATCCATTCATTTTTTTCCCACAGATATTTTCTAAGGGCCATGCACTATTCAAAGCACTAGAATGAATATGCCTGTCTTTCCTTCTTTCTTTTCTTTTTCTTTCATTTCCTTCCTTCCTTCCTTCATTTCTTCTTTATTTCCTTCCTTCCTTTCATTTTCTTTCTCTCTCTTCAAGTATTTCCTTCTCAGATTACATAATTATTTTTACTTGGAAATTTTAATATGTTTTCTCTTTTAACTGGGTAAAATATGTCTAATTCCAAAGTAGCCAAGTCAAAATTTCCTATACCACCAAAATGCTTCAGCTCATAGAAGATTTTCATATAATATAATTTAGAAAACAGAAATAATTGCAGATTCACACAAAAAATTTTAAATGATCCTATGGACAAAGGGTTCTGTTCTTTCCATTAATGCTACCAGTATTGGACATTTACAAAAGTAATTTAGAGACATGTACAAGGAAAATCTGTCAGTGGCTTCCAAATTTAGTAAATCTGTATATTTTACAATCACTTGTTTTCATTTATGATAAATACAATTTACTCTTGATGCACTCTGGTTAAATTAGAGCAGTTAGTTCATGCTTTAAAATATTAACACAACACAGCAAAAGGCATGTAAAAATATAAAAGAAAACACCAGAAACACATGTCTGAGTTCAAAGCCTATTAAGCATTCCTGTGCACCAGAAATAGAAAAGAAATGCAGAACTGAGCATAGCTGAGGCCACAGCCATCCTGGGCTCTTGTCCTAAAGTAGGCAGTGACAGCTGAGAATCAGGGAAGGAGAATTGAAGGTGTGCCATGGAAATTAGCATACTGGAGACAGGCTGAAAACAGAGGCTAGATTGGGCTCCTTCTGGTGAAAGGAGGTTAAAAGTCTGCAGCCAGCCATTCCCTGGGGCTATGGCTTTGCAGATAACTTCAGAAACAAGAGGGCTAACACACATTGCACTTGAGGAAGGGTGCTAAATGCACTTGGCCTGGGGCCTGATGTCATATGCTTGCTGAGACCAAGGGCAGGTGTTCTGCAGTGTCATACAGAAATGGGTTTGGAGGTAGGGTTGAGGAATTTGGGAGAAGGAAATGCAAAACCACTAGACAGAGAAATATGAAGATGCAGAGAGAAGGGGGGCAATTTCATTCAAAATGATGCTGCAAAAAACATTTCAAAGCAGGAGAATTCTAATGCTGTGAAAGTAATCCTGCCAAAAAGCAACCACTGGAACATAATTTTATTCCAGGTGAAATTTTATTAAACTGATCTAGCCCAAACTTAAGAATATATATGCTTTGAATGCTTAAGGGGAAAAATGGAAAAAACTATGAAATTTTTTTAAAAAACAAAAGTATGGAAAGCAGACAGATATGAAACAAGCCAAGTAAATTAAAAAACAGAATGATTAGACATCTTGGAAATTAAAAATCTATTCATTGAAATAAAAAATTCAAAGATAAGAAAAACTTTGGAAAAGAAACAACAAAAGAAAAATAATAAATTGAAAAATATTACTGAGGGATTCACCCAGAAGACAGCATAGAGAATAAAATATGAAAAACTGCTGGGCCGGGCGCGGTGGCTCAAGCCTGTAATCCCAGCACTTTGGGAGGCCGAGGCGGGTGGATCACGAGGTCAAGAGGTCGAGACCATCATGGTCAACATGGTGAAACCCCGTCTCTACTAAAAATACAAAAAATTAGCTGGGCGTTGTGGCGCACGCCTGTAATCCCAGCTACTCGGGAGGCTGAGGCAGGAGAATTGCCTGAACCCAGGAGGCGGAGGTAGCGGTTAGCCGAGATTGCGCCATTGCACTACAGCCTGTGTAACGAGCGAAACTCCGTCTCAAAAAAAAGAAAAGAAAAGAAAAGAAAAACTGCTAAGCAGAGAGATCATACACCTTAGTATGCCTGGGAGAATTCCAATTTACATCTGTTATCCTGATGTAATTATTAGTGGCACTTCTTTTAACTCCTAAATGCATCTTCCCTGAAAATCGGGGAAGAAGAATTAAAGGTGCTCCATGGAAATTAGCAGACTGGAGCCAGGTCTGAAAACAGAGACTAGGTGGAGCTCTAGTTATATAAATGTAATATAAATATAATTTATTTGATAATTTTTATGGTCACCTAAAAATATATAAGATAGTCTGAAGACAAATAGGACTGTCTATTTTTCTTCAAGAAAAGAATGAGTAGAGAGAATCACTAGAAAGTAATACTTGGAGAGAAAAGAGCTGTGAGCTTTCCAAAATTGAATAAAAATATGTCCTCAAATTGAAAATGAACTATAAGAACCAAGAAGGATCTACAAAAATATACTCATACCTAGACTTACCAAAGGAAAACTGGAATACATCAAGAGTTAGGAGATACTCTTACCAGCTACAAGGAGAAAAAACAGATTACCAACAAGAAATGGTAATTAAACAATAAATCAAGTGGGTTTCTCATTAGCAACAATAGATGCCATAAAACGATAGAGAAATAAATTCAGTGTAATGAGGGGGAACTGGAAATTTAGAATATTATATCCAAATAACTTAGCAACACAAACAAGTTCCTGGAAAACAGATTATCAATCTATAATTTAATCCTATTTAGGTTCTTGGGTTTCTGAGTGGAATAAAGCATTAGATAATTTCAGGTATTTTCTAAATTATAGTTATAATTAATTTATAATTTACAGCTTTGTATGTTATAAACTTAAAAATATTTTTATTGGAAGTTAACAAATTAAACATAATTTAATTTCCAATTATGTGGTGGCGAATGCCTGGAGTCCCAGCTACTTGGGAGGCTGAGGCAGGAGAATTGCTTGAACCTAGGAGGCGGAGATTATAGTGAGCGGAGATCGTGCCCTTGCACTACAGCCTGGGCAACGGTGCGAGACTCCATCTCAAAACCAAAAAAAGAAAGTAGTAAGAGGAAGAGAGGGAAGTCAAGGAAGTATAAGTGAGCTAAAACCTCATTTACCACGGCAGGAAGTCGGTAGACAATGTTTAAAGTAGGTAATCTAAACCATCATGACTAATCCACTTAGAATTTTAAATACGTAAAATAAAAGTTATCAAGGGTTTAAAATGACAGATTCAGGAAGGGATGAGAAGTGGTAACCAATTGTTGCTTTCTATAGCAAGCCCTTTTATGCTGTTTATGCTTTATACAATTTTCCTCATTTTGACAAAATTGTAAATGTTAGAACTATATTTGCATGTATACACACCTATATACACACACATTTTAAAGGAATGGCTATTAGTAAAATATAATAATAGATAGTATCTCTTTTTATAAACAATGTCTGCCATCTATCTACCTATCTAAGAAATGTACAAAGAGACTTTTACAACAATATTTAGCTCGCATTTCCAAGTGGTGGGATTTCAGGAGAATTTTTACATTGTTCTTACTTTTCTGTATTCCCTGAATAATTATTGTCTTTATATCACTTTTCTAATAACAGCATCATTATTGTATATTCTGAATGCTGGGAGGGCAAGGGGATATAAATAAA